GCGGGCGAGGCGGCGGCGGGGACCGCGCCCTCCCAGGAGGGGCCTAGTCCCGCGGCCCTGCGCTCAGGGGCAGCCCGCTTCCAGGCACGAGCCCCGCAGACGCCCGTGCGTGGGCCGGGTGGGCGCAGCGCCCGGCGGGTTCTAGTCCCAGCTGGGCGGGACACCCAGGCTGCTTCTAGGCACTTCCAGGATTTCTGGCTGGAACTTGGGTTGGACCCGGGGGCACCGAGCGTGAGTGAGCGCAGTGGGGCTGGGCTTGGGGCGCCAGGGTGGGGAGCGGGACTCTCTCCCAAGGGCGGTAGTAGGGAGCCATGGAGGGTGTGTGAGCAGGAGCAGGGCATGACGGACCTGGGGCCCGTAAAGGGCACCAGCGGGCACCCACAGCGGGAGGCGTGGCTTGAGCCGGGGCTGAGCCAGACAGACAGGAGGAGGGAGAAAGGACGGGCCTTACTGGCCGGCTAGACCTGGGGGACACAGACTGTAGCAGCATTTAGTGAGCGCCTACTGTGTGCCAGACACTGCACCAGAGGCCCTTCGCCTGGATCAGATCACTGAATGATACAACACCAGGCGGGGCTTGCTATCCTCCCCACTTGACAGGTGAGGAAACTGAGGCTCAGAGAAGCCAAGACACAGGTCCAAGGTCACACAGCGAGGACAGAGGAAAGACTCGAACCGGGCTCTGACTTAAGAACGTTTGCACTCGACTCCTCCCCGGCCCCCGCATCTGAGCATTTTCAGGTTGTTCTTTTTTTTTTTTTTGAGACAGAGTCTCACTCTGTCGCCCAGGCTAGAGTGAGTGCCGTGGCGTCAGCCTCGCTCACAGCAACCTCAGACTCCTGGGCTCAAGCGATCCTCCCTGGCCTCTCCCGCGGTGAAGCCCCCTCCGTCCCGTCCCGCCCCAGGGCCGCTGGACTTCGAGGCGTACAGCGCGGCCGCCCTGCAGGAAGGCAAGTACGTCTGGCCCGGACGCACGGACGGACGGACGCCCAGGCCGGACCGCGGCAGGAGGCCGGGCGGGCGGGCACGGGGGCGCCTGCCCCGGCTCAGCGCCCCGTCTGTCCCCAGCAATGAAGCGTCTGCGCGGAGCCAAGGCCTTCCGCCTGCCAGGACTCAGCCGGCGCGAGCGGGAGCCCGAGCCACACGCGGCCGCGTGAGGAAGGGGGTCCCCGCCCCCACCCCGTCCCCTCCCCCTGCCCCCCTCCCCCACCCCCGCAGACCGGCACCCTGCGTCCCGCGCCGGCTCACTGTGACCCTGGCCGGGGTGCCGCCGCCTCCAGCGCTGGCTCAGAGGGGCAGGGGAAGGCGTCGCCGCGCGGGGGCGGCCCCCGTTCCAGTCCCGGGTGGCGGCGGGGGCGGGCGGGCGCGCTGGCTGCCACCAACGTCTCTTCCTCGTCCCCAGAGACAGCCCGGAGCCCGGTTCCGAGGTGAGTGGCGCGCGTGCTCGTGGGGCTGCGGGCGGCAGGGCGTGGTCCCACCCCGGCCCCCAGGGCCAGAGCCCGGCTGGACGCCCGAGCGCTGAGCCGGGGAGCCCAGGGCTGGGGGGAGCGCAGCTGGGGCTCCGGGTTCAAATCCCGCCGGGGCTGCGCACTCCCGTGGGCCCCGCGGGGAGGCCCGGTGTCCTCACCGAGCCCCGATGTCCGCGTCCCGGGAACCCGCCCACATCCCTGGGAGGATGGGAAGTGGCCATCGGGTCGGGCCTGGGGGCGAGGGGCGGCCGGAGCGAGGGGACGTTGGGTGACCGGGCTGACGCCCCGCTCGGCCCCTGCCCAGACGAGCCGGGAGGTGGATGAAGACGGCTTCACCGTCCGGCCTGAGGTGACGCAGAACAATATCCTTCTGGTGCGCCGGGGACGGCTGCTGGCGCAGCGAGGACGAAACTGTCCCCCGGCACCGTTAGCAACCGTCTCTGCGCCCGCCCTGGAAGGGGGCCTCTGTCGTGGGCGGAGCAGACCTAGATGCAGACACCCGCCCCGTGGGGTCGGGGTTCGGGTCACCCCAGGGGGCAAAGCCAGCAGGGTTTCCTGGACGAGGGGCACCAGGGCTGGGGTTTAGCGGCCGCATAGGAGTTCCCCGGTTAGGGGAAGGTGTGCTCGTGCGGGGGCTGGGTGGATGCTGGGTGGTGCGGGTGGAGGTGGGACGCCCCCACCCCAAGGGCCTGAGCGGGCAGGTGCGCGCTGGGGTCTGAGGGCGGACTGGAGGGAGGCCCACGCCAGGTCCCGCTTGGAGCCTTGACGGCAGCGGCTACGCACGGCCGAGCCCTCCCGCTTCTCGTCCAGCGACTCGGACTTCGACGACGAGGAGCCTCGCAAGTTCCACGTGCACATCAAGCCCGCCGCGGCCCGGGCCCCCGCCTGCAGCCCCGAGGCGGCTGCCGCACAGCTCAGGGCCACAGCCGGCAGCCTCATCCTTCCGCCCGGCCCAGGGGTGAGGAGTGGGAGGGGCCAGGGGCGAGGCGTGGGAGGGGCCGGGGAAGAGGTGTGGGAGGGGCCTGGGGGGCGAGGCGTGGGAGGGGCCAGGGAAGAGGTGTGGGAGAGGCCAGGGGCGAGGCGTGGGAGGGGCCCGGGGGGGAGGAGCGGGAGGGGCCCGGGGGCGAGGCGTGGGAGGGGCCCGGGGAGGCGTGGGAGGGGCCGGGGAGGCGTGGGAGGGGCCCAGGGGGAGGCGTGGGAGGGCAGGGCCCTGGAGGCCCAGGGGGGAGGAGTGGAGGGCGGAAAGGTGAAGGCCGGGCGAGCGTGGGAGGGAGCCAGGGAAAGTTGGAGGAGGGAGGTGTAAGGTGCAGGGGTAGCGTGGGAGGGGCCCAGGTGAAGAGGTGTGGAGGGCCGGGGAAGAGTGTGGAGGCGGCCCGGGCGAGCATGGGAGGGGCCCGGGCGAGGCGTGGGAGGGCCCATGGAGACGTGGAGGGCCCAGGGGAGGAGTCGGGAGGGAGGAGGCGTGGAGGGGCCAGGCGAGGGTGAGGCCAGGGGGCGAGGAGACGGAGGCCAGGGGCGAGCATAGAGGCCCAGGGGCGAGGCGTGGAGGGCAGGCGAGGCGTGGGAGGGGCCAGGGGCGAGGTGTGGGAGAGGCGCCTTGCTGCGCCGGGCGGCTGGCGGGGCTGGCGGGGCTGGCGGGAGGTGCCCGCCTACGCCTGACGCAGCCCCGTCTGTCCACAGGGCACCATGAAGCGCCACTCTGCACGTGAGTAGCCTCGGGGAAGGGCACGCTGTCAATCACTCTGACCCTCGGTCTCTTTTTCTGTAACACGGGGGCGTGGGTCCTTCCGAGAATCGAATGAGAGCCGAGAGGAGGAGCCGGGGCCCGGAAAAGAGCCAAAACCTGGGACAGGTTGACTCAGGTTGGCATCCCTCTCCGCCTCATTGGCTGGCCACCTTGGGCTGGCGGGACAGCTCGGAGCCTCCGCCCCGAGCCTCCGTCCCCCGGCCCGCAGGGGGACAGGCAGGCTCACAGAGGTCGGTCTCTCGCAGGGGACGCGGCCGGGAAACCGCAGAGGCCTCGGTCTGCCCCGAGAGTCAGCAGGTGGGTCCCGCGGGGGCGGGCAGGTGGGGCTGTGCCCCGCCCCTCCCCCGCCCGCCGCCTCCCCGGCCTGGTCCCTGCCCAGGGTTCTCTCTGGAACTTGAGGCCGTGCTGCTTGTGTGGGGGTCGCTTGCTCACTTGCTAAACATGTATTGGGCTCCTGCTGTGTACTCGTGCTGGCGGGGGGCGGGGACCTGGGCTCTGAGAGAGGGACGCCTTAAGGGCAGCCAGCAAGAGCCGACTGGACACTTGTAAGTGCCGTGGAGAAACTGAGGCAGGCAGCGAGACGGAGACAGGAGGGGCGACTCCAGTCGGAGTGCTGGCAGGGCACCTCCCTGAGGGGGTGACTTGGTGCCCAGCCCCGGAGAGGAGCCGGAGGTGGCCCCGAGGAGAGCTGGGGGGACCGAGTTCAAGGCCGGCGAGAGCACGTGCAAAGGCCCTGAGGCGGGACCCTCCCCTCTTGGCCTCCCCGTGCCTAGCTGTGTGGAGAAGCTGCAGCCGGAGGAGCAAGCGGCCAAGAACCTCTTCGGGCCGCCCCTGGAGTCGGCCTTTGACCACGAAGATTTTACAGGTGAGCGGGATAGGGGGTGGGGCGTGGGCGTGGCCTATGGGAGGGTGGGCGTGGCCTCTGCAAGGTTAGGCGGCTCCGGTCTGCGGAGGGCAGGGAAGACAGGAGACAGTGGGGCGGAGACCTCAGTGGGTGGGCGGGGCCAGAGGGGGGGTCTCCCCGGAGTGGGCGGGGGCCCCAGTGGGTGGGACATTCTCAGAGTGGGCGGGGCCTTCTCCAGAGTGGGCGGGGCATCGGACACAAGCAACCAGAGGGCGTGGCCTGGCGCAATGAGGCCTTTGAATGGGGCCCAGCAGCTCCTCCACGCGGGCGCGGCCTGCAGGGACGGTGGGGACCCCGCGCCCCCGCGCCCCCGCGCCCCGAGCTGACCGCCCCTTCCCTCCACAAGGCTCCAGCAGCCTGGGCTTCACCTCCAGCCCCTCCCCTTTCTCCTCCTCGTCGCCCGAAAACGTGGAGGACTCCGGCCTGGACTCGCCGTCCCACGCGGCGACGGGCCCCTCCCCGGACTCCTGGGTCCCCCGCCCGGGCACCCCGCAGAGCCCGCCCGGCTGCCGGGCGCCGCCCCCCGAGTCCAGGGGGGTGCGGGTCCTGCCGCCGCCGGACTCGCCGCAGCCCTGCGCGCCCTCTCCGGGCCCCTGGGGGCTGGAGGCCCTGGCAGGGGGAGGTGAGTCCAGCGGTCCCCGGGGGCGGGGGGCAGGATATTGAGGCAGGAGGTGGCGGCACCTGGCGGGGGCCTCCCTGGGGAGGAGACACCCAGGCTCGGACGGAGGAGGACGGGGAAAGGCGCACCCGGTAGCGCCCACAGCCAGTGCAAAGGCCCTGGGGCAGGCGCGCGTGAAGGCCACCTGGGGCGAGGCCGTGCGGAGGCTGGGCCTGTGGACGTCAGGTGGACGGTGGACCCCGAGTTTGTGGGGGGCTGGGCCGGAACACCCCACGGGCAGCCACTGCGCGGCCCGGTCTCCAAAGCAGAGGGGCGGCCTCCCAGAGAGGGCGGAGGGGTGGATGGAGCCGGGCAGGGCGGAGTGGGAGGAGGACAGCGGGTGGGGGGAGCGGGAGAAAAGGGGGGTCCCCCCAAGTCAGGGGGACTGTGGGCTGTGACCACACGACGTCCCCAGCAGCGCTGACGGGGGCGCCTGACCCCTCCACGCCAGAGCCTGGCTGCAGCCCGGCCAGGGAGCCCGCGGGCGGGTACAGGGTTCCTGACGACCGGGTGTTCCGCGCCGGGGGACACTGGCGACGGCTGGAGACATTTTGGGTTGTCGCCACCAGAAGGGGGCGCCCCAACCCCAGAGAACGACCCAGCCCCAAACTTCAGCGTGAGGGCTGGGAAACCCGGGGGAGCACAGCCCCACAGCGGTGCGGGTGGGAGGGGAGGCGGTGAGCGGTGAGCGGATGGGGCAGGGCCTGGGCGTTACAGCTAGGAGGGTGAGACTCAGGCCTAGGCCACGGCGGGTGGTGGCTCTCAGCTCTCAGAGGGGGGGAAGGTCATGGAATAGTGGACTGCTGGCCAAAAATCCTCTGCTGACTTCCCCTATAGCGCGCCTGCCTCCTAAGCCTTCAGCCCTCGCTTGCATACCCCCAGTGACGGAGAGCTCACCCCTCGGTGGGCCACCATTCTGGTGTCTGGGAGGCTCAGGGCTGCGGATGGCGTCCTCAGTCCTGCCGGGCACCTTCTGCGTCTGCAGCCCCAGGACTCCGGGCCTTCAGGGGTCTCCCTGACACACCCCGGCCTCCCAGTCTGGCTGAGCTCCGCCCCCCGTCCCCCGGGGAAGCCCGCCCGGGAGGCCCGCCCGGGAGGCCCAGAGCAGCATCTCAGCGGCGCCTTTTCTTGCACTCGCCCCCCCCCAGACCCGACGCCTGCCCCCGGCGACCCCACAGCCCGGGAGGGCCTGGCAGCCCCGCCCCGGAGACCCCGCGCCAGGAAGGTGTCCTGCCCCCTCACCCGGAGCAACGGCAACCTGGTAGGGCTGGGGGCGGGGCGGGGGCGGGGCCGGGCTGGGGGTCGCCTAGGGGGGGTGTCACGCCTCTCCCGGGTGCTCAGCCCAGCCCGCCCCCCCCTTTCAGTCTCGCTCCCTGAGCCCCTCCCCGCTGGGCTCTTCGGCCACCAGCGCTGTCCCGGAGCGGCCCAGCTTCTCGTGCCAGACGGGACAAGGTAGGTGGGGGCGGCCCCGCCCCACCCTGGCCCCGCCCCCGTGGGCCTCGGTTCTCCTCCGGGCGGGGGCTGAGTAATAAGAGGGCGGCCCCAGGCCCGCCCCCACCCCACCCCACCCCACCCCCGTGGGCCTCGGTTCTGGGGGGGGGCTGAGTAATAAGAGGGAGGCCCCGGCCCTGCCCCCCCCAGCCTCGCCCCCACCCCCCAATCCCGCCCCCCCCTCGGTTCTCCTCCGGGCGGGGGCTGAGTAATAAGGCCCCTCCCCACCCCCGTGGGCCTCGGTTCTGGGGGGAGGACTGAGTAATAAGAGGGAGGCCCCGGCCCCGCCCCCCCCAATCCCGCCCCCCCCTCGGTTCTGGTCCGGGCGGGGCCGAGTGATACGAGGGCGGCCCGGCGGTGGGGGGGCGTCTGGAGCCGGGGCCTGTGCTCACCCCGCGCGTCTGTCCCGCTCCCCCCAGCACCCCCAGGCGTGTCCCGGGGCCCAAGCCCTGTGGTCCTGGGCTCCCAGGATGCCCTGCCCGTGGCCACGGCCTTCACCGAGTACGTCCACGCCTACTTCCGCGGCCACAGCCTCAGGTACTCCGCGGCAGGCGGGCAGGGCTGCGCGGGGGCTCCGGCGGGGACGGCCTTCAGGCGGGCTCCGAGGCCCGTTACGCGGTGCAGGGGCCTTGAACGCCGAGCTGAGCCTTCAGGCCCCCCCGTCTTGAGGGCGGTGGGAGCCACGGGGGCGTCTGAGCAGGGCTGGGCCTTGTCGGAGACTCCTCCGACGCGGACGCGGCCATCAAGCTGGAGAGAGCCAGGCTCGGCCTAAAGGGGGCAGGTTAGGGGCGAGCTGAGGGGCGAAGGACACACTGGGGAGGGAGGGGGTGTCATCCAGCAGAAAGGACCTTAAAGTCAAACCACAAAGAGGAGGAGGGTGTTAGATCTGAAACTCAACCTGAGGATGGTTAAAAGACTGAACATTTTGCTCTGAGCTTCCTGGCGGCCTAGGAGAAAAGGGAACTAGGGAAGGGGACTTTCCTGCCTCCTTCAGCCTAGGGTGTCGTCTTCCTGTCCAGGCAGGGGCAGAAGAGGAGGAGGCTGGGGGAGAGGGTGGCGGGCACCATCAGGCCCTGGCTGTATCTGAAGGGGTTTTTTGGGGGGGGAGGCGCAGGCTGCAGTGGAACTGGGAGGGGAGGGGGGAGGAGCTGGGCGGAGACGACGCCCCCCAACACCCGGCCCCCGACTCCCTAGTTGCCTGGCCCGGGTCACCGGAGAACTGACCATGACGTTCCCTGCGGGCATCGTGCGCGTGTTCGGCGGCACCCCGCCCCCGCCCGTCCTCAGCTTCCGGTTGGTCCACGCGGGCCCCATCGAGCAGTTCCAGCCCAGCGCGGATCTGCTCTTCAGGTGCGGCGTGTGGGCAGCGGGCGGGGGTGCGGGCCCGGGGCTCCCGGCTCTGCATCCCTGTTCTCCCTCTTGGGGCGTGCTGTGTGGCCTGGGGCTAGTTGCTTGCCCTCTCTGAGACTCGCTCCCCTTCCCTCCTTCTCTGCCTCCGCCCCCCTCCACACACACACACACACACACCGGCACCCAGGCGGGCTCTGATGCCCCCAGGCTGGGCCAGGAACCGGGAAGCCCCCCGGGGGTAGGTGGGACAACGGGGGCGGGGTTACAGTTCCTCGGGTCTCTGCAGCGACCCCTCCCAGAGCGACCCCGAGACCAAAGACTTCTGGCTCAACATGGCAGCCCTGACCGAGGCCCTGCAGCGCCAGGCGGAGCAGAACCCCACGGCCTCCTACTACAACGTGGTGCTGCTGCGGTACCAGGTGGGCCGCGCGCAGACGGGATGGGCGACCGGGCGGGGGACAGGGCCGAGCAGGCGGCAGGAATGGGGCGCCGCCGGGCGGGCTGGGCGGTGGCGGGGTGGCCGGTCCGTGCGGGGCGGGCCCTGCGTCCGCTAGTGCGCGCGGTGCCATCACGCATACTGGAAGGCCCCCGGTCTCCAGGACCTTGAACTTGAACTTGGTCTGCCAGTCCGCGTCGGAAGGACGCGCGCTCCTGCCCTGCGCCGGCCGCGCGGCGCAACCCAGACCCGCGTCCCGGCGCGCGCGCATGCAGGGCCCGGGTGGCCGGGCGGCGCGCGGTGGCGCCGGGGCTTGACACCGCCGTGTCCTCTCCCGCCCCGCGCTCCCAGTTCTCCCGGCCGGGCCCGCAGGCCGTGCCGCTGCAGCTGAGCGCGCGCTGGCAGTGCGGGGCGGCGCTCACGCAGGTCGCCGTGGAGTACAGCTACCGGCCCGGCGCCACGGCCGTGCCCACGCCGCTCACCAACGTCCAGGTGCTGCTGTCGGTGGCCGAGCCTGTGACCAACGTCCGCCTGCAGCCTGCCGCCACCTGGTGAGGGCGCACGCGCACCGCGTGCCGTCTACACTTGCGGAGGGGAAACTGAGGCACGGGGCGGTTCCCCACTAAGACTCGAACCGGTCCGCCCACGCTCGGTCCGGGGCTTTCAGCCGCGGCGCGTGTCGCCTCCGGTTCGCACGAAAGGTGGAAACGGCCGCGAGGGAGCCGGGCTCCCGGGGACCGAACGTGCCGTCTAAAAGCGCCCGCAAGGCTGCGTGGCCCCGCGCCGCATTCCGTACCTCGGCCCCCGTGTCCTAGACGGGGAAACTGAGGCGAGGTTGAGGATGAGGTTTGCTGGGGTCTCCCAGCCCGGAGGCAGCTGAGCGGGGACCGCAGGCTCCCAGCGGCCCCTGCGCGGAGCACCTGACCGGGGCTGTCTCCCTGCCAGGAACCTGGAGGAGAAGCGGCTTCTGTGGAATCTTCCAGACGTGTCCGAGGCAGGCGGTGAGCCGTTGTTGCCCGCGCGGGGGGCGGGGCCGGGGGGCGGGGCTTGTTTCCGCTGGGGGAGGGTTGGGAGGATGGGGGGATGGGCGGGCAGCCAGGGAGGCTTGAGGCCTTGCCAGCACGTGCAAAGGCCCTGGGGCAGGCCTCCTGTGCGGGCCTCCCAGCACGTGCAAAGGCCCTGGGGCGGGCCTCCTGTGCGGGCCTCCGGGCACGTGCAAAGGCCCTGGGGCGGGCCTCATGGGCGGACCACTCGGAGCCCAGGGGGGCAGAAGGGAAGGGCACCGGGGCTGGCGAGGAGGCCGGGCGGGCGGGCAGGTGGGCGGACAGACGGTCTCAGGCCTGGGCGGAGGAGGAGCCCAAGTGGCCGCAGCGGGCGGGGGTGGCGCGGGCGCGGCTGACCGCAGGCCTCCGCAGGCTCTGGCCGCCTGTCCGCCAGCTGGGAGCCGCTGTCGGGGCCCAGCACCCCCAGCCCCGTGGCGGCGCAGTTCACCAGCGAGGGGGCCACCCTGTCAGGCGTGGACCTGGAGCTGGTGGGCAGCGGCTACCGCATGTCGCTGGTGAAGAGGAGGTTCGCCACAGGTGCGGCCGGGCGCGGGGTCTGGGGGCGGGGCCGGGGGGGCTGGGGGCACAGGCGGGCAGAGGGAGGGCAGGGCCCGTGGGGGGACCCGGGGAGGGATGCGCATGTGGCGGAGCTTAGGGGGGGGGGTGGGGGGGGACGGGGAGGGAAGGCGCCAATGTCGGAGTAGGGGGGTGGGGGGGGAAACCGGGAAGAAGGCGGCAATCTGCGGAGTAGGGGGTGGGGGGGGACGGGAAAGGAAAAAAGGGGCCCGCCAAGGTAACGGAGCAGGGGGGGTGGGGGACGGGAGGAAGGCGTCATCCCGGGGGAGCAGGGGGGTTGGGGGGGACCGGGAATGGAAGGCGGGGAATGTGCGGAGTAGGGGGTTGGGGGGGAAACGGGAAAAAAAAGGAAAGCTAATGTGGCCGGAGGCAGGGGGGTGGGGGGGAAACGGGAAAGGGAAAGGCGGGCAATGGTGCCGGAGCAGGGGGGGGGGGGGAGGACCGGGAAGGAAGGCCCGGCATGTTGGCCCGGAAGCCCCAAGGGGGTGGGGGAAGAACCCGGGGAGGAAGGCGCAATGTGCGGGAGTGGGGGGTTGGGGAAGTGCCAGGGGTGGGGGGGGAAGAACCCCGGGCCCCCTCCGGAAGGGGAGACCCAAGGCAGGGAGCCCGCACCGCCATCCCCGCCCTCACGGGGGCGCTGGGGACAGAAGGTTTTGGGGGTGCTGCTAAGAGGACAGGAGGGGGGTCTCAGCGAGGGGCGGCCCCTCCCCGCCTCTCCCCTCACGCCCCCCCCCCGCCCCCGCAGGCATGTACCTGGTGAGCTGCTGAGCGCCGAGTCCCGCCCTGGTGCTGCCCGGCTGTCCGCGCCCTCCTGTTGGCCGCGGGGTCCCCTGCCCCGGCCTCCCCGAGGCCCGGCCTCCCCGGGGAGGAGCCCCGCGCCCAGCCCGGCTGAGCCCGCGACGCGCTCCTGCCATGAGTGCCAACCCCACGCAGGTCCTGGCCTTTTGCTGGTCTTTGAACAGACACTTTATTTTCTAATAAAACAAACAAGGAAACTGTTTCCTGCTCCAGGAAGTGTCCTTGGCGTCGCCAGAGAGGAAAGGAAGCGAAAACGCGCGCGTGGGATTCACCGATTGTCCCTGACCGGTCGGCTCCTGCACCGTGCCCAGCCTGGACAGAGCCAAGCCTGGGGGGAGCAAGAGCCAGACACAGGCACCCCAGCCCCGGGGACTCAGAGCCGGGCTAAGAGGAGGGAGGAGGACTGCAGGAGCCCGGTGGGGGATGCCAGGCCTGATTCCCAGGGAGTCAGGAAGACTTCCTAATGAAGGGGCATTAAAGATAGGGTTTTGAGATATGAATAGGAGTCCGTGAGATGGGGAATGGCACCCCAGGCCGGGCGGTGGGGAGTTGTCTGTTCTGTGAGGAAGCAGTCAGTCAACCCAGGAACGTAGCTCTTGGGAGCTGTGAGGATGCAGAGCCAGGAGGCCTGGGGTCTGGAGCCTGCTTGGCCACCACTGGCTGTGTGACTCTGAATGAGTGACAGGAGCCCCACCCTCCTCCTCTGCAACCCACCTGGCGGGGTGTCCGTGGTGAGCCGGCGGGCGCGGCCCCGCCTGTGTGTGGGCAGCCCCTGCGGAGGGTGTGTTGGGTGCAGGTGGGCGAGGGTGGCGGGGGTGGGGGCCCAGGGCGGACGGGGGGACCAGCAGGCTGCAGCAGGGAGCAGCCCCGCGCCCGGCGGGCAGTGCAGGGTCCTCGCTGCCCGACCCTGGGCGTGCACGTCCCCGGGACCCAGGCCCGGAAAGAAAGCCAGAAGCAGGAGCAGGAAGCCGGGTCAGCCCGACACCTGCCTTGCGCCCCGGTCGTCCCGGCCTGGCCTCTGAAGGGACATCTGGCCGAGCCTCCGCTTCCTGCCGCGAGATGGGGTCCCCCAGCTGGGCGAGGGCTGGGAGCGGCCTTAGCTCAGAGCAGGTGCACAGGACGCTGGCCGCGCTAGGGAGGGGTGACACGGGGGTGACAGTTCAGGCAGAGGCGGCTCCTATGCCTCAGCTCTCCGGCCAGACAGCGCCGGGACTCTGCAGCCCTGACACTCCTGGTCCCCTGTCCCCGGGCCTCACTACCTCCGAGGCTGCGCATCCAGACCCCACAGCTGCCCTGGGAGGCCCTGGGCCTCAGGGACAGAGCTACGGCTGCAGGACGTGACAGAATCGAAGACCAATTCTAGACCGGGCGCGGTGGCTCACGCCTGGCATCCCAGCACTCTGGGAGGCCGTGGCGGGAGGATCGCTTGAGGCCGGGAGTTTGAGACCAGCCTGAGCAAGAGCGAGACTCCCTGTCTCTAAAAAATTTTAAGAATGAGCCGGGCGTGGTGGCGCATGCCTATAGTCCCGGCTACTCGGGAGGCTGAGGCAGGAGGATCGCTGGAGCCCAGGAGTTGGAGGCTGCAGTGAGCTGTGGTCACCGCGGCACTGCAGCCCGGGTGACCTGGCAAAGCCTTGTCTCACAAAAAAAAAAAAAAAAGATGTGGGTTTGGGTTCTTGCCCATCTGATAAATGTCAGGGACACGGCCACCTCCTGGTGGCTTTAATTTGCTTTTCTTGGGTCACAAGGGAGGGGGCACCTTTTAAAACACAGAAGTCATTATTCCCCGGGTGTGGCCTCCTAAGTGCCTCCCAGAGCAGGTGTGACATGTGCCTGTCTCGGGGAGGAGAGTCCCCGGAGGGGGTGAGGGGACCGGGTGACCTGGGTCAGCCCTGGGCAGACGGGCGCGACTGGCTTACACGCCTCGGTCCCCTTCACCCGGGCGACTCCAAAACACCGGCCCCGCCGCGGAGTGACGGCCGCGTGGCCAGCCCTGGGGAGTGGCCCCGCTGGTGTTTTCAACACTGAGGCAAAATCCACACAACAGAAAATTAACCGCTTTAGGCCGGGCGCGGTGGCTCACGCCTGTCATCCCAGCACTCCGGGAGGCCCAGGCAGTGGATCGCTCGAGGTCAGGAGTTCGAGACCAGCCTGAGCAAGAGCAAGACCCCGTCTCCTCTATAAATAGAAAGAAATTAGCTGAACAACTAAAAGAATATATAGAAAAAATTAGCCGGGCATGGTGGCGCATGCCTGTAGTCCCAGCTACTCGGGAGGCTGAGGCAGGAGGATCGCTTGAGCCCAGGAGTTTGAGGTTGCTGTGAGCGAGGCTGACGCCACGGCACTCACTCTAGCCTGGGCGACAGAGGGAGACTCTGTCTCAAGAAAATAAATAAATAAAAATAAAAAAAGAAAAGAAAATTAGCCGTTTTGGAGCGAACAGTGGGCCATGGTGTGCCCCCATGCATCACCTCTACTCGTTCCAGAACATTCTCAATGCCCCCAAAAGGAGACCGGGACCCCATCAGCGGCCGCGCCCCACTCCCCCTCCGCCCCACCCCCAGCCCCTGGCAGCCGCTAAGCTGCTTCCTGTCTCCTCGCATTGCCCGTTGGGGACCTGTCTATAAGGGGGTCGCACCGCTGAGGCCGTGGGCGGCTTCTCCCGCCGCGTGCTCAGGGCCCCCGCGCGCAGCAGGTGTCTGTGGGCTCCGATGTCCCCAGCGATGTCCCGCTGCCCCGGCCTCGCAGGACCCGCCGCTCCTCTGGACACCTGCGGGCGCCGGAGCGGCCCCCTGAGCCCCGCGACGTTCCAACCCGGGGCGCGGGGCGCCAGCTCCCTGTGGGGCGCCCGCGACCCCGGGGCTCCCAGGGGCGGCGTCCGGTCGGTCCCCAGCGAGACGCGACGTGGGTCGATGTCGTCGCCTCGGATGAAGTCAGTTTCCGTCCCGCGCGGGCTCCGAGCTGGCTCCGCGCCCCGCACCTCGCCCAGCTGCTGGAGCCGGGCTGGCCGCCCCACCCGACAGGCGGGGAAACTGAGGCACGGCCGGCGGACACCGCCACCCCTTTCCTCCTCAGGAATAAACGCGGTCGGAGCAGGAAGCAGGCGTGGGACCCGCGCCCGGGACCCCGCCAGCCCAGAGCCCCGCGCCACGCCCACGCGTCGGCGCTGGAAACTTCTAGAGACTCGGGGACACCTTCGAGCCGCAGAGTCTGACTCCTCGCCACCCCCAACCCCCAAAATCTACAACTGAGACTTGCAGAACCTGAGCGGCGACCCGCGGCTGGCTTCCAGGGGCAAAGGGCAGGCGACTGGGCAGCTCTGGAATCTTCCAAGCTCAGCGCCGCTCTCAAAGGCCGCTGGACTCACCTGCGCCCTCCCCCGCCCCCTCCGCCCCGGCTCTGCGAGGGACGCGCCACCGCCACCGCTGCCCTGTGCCCGGCGCGCACGGCGCTGCTTGCACTCCTCCGCGCGCGGGGAGCTCACCCCCTAGCCGCGAGCCGGCCCGGGTGGGGGCGTGAGCTCTAACAGGGAAGAGGATGGCGGGGGCCGCGGCTCGGCCGGGGCGGGGCGGGGCGGCCGGGGCGGGGCCACCAGGAAGCCCGGGGCTGCTGGCGCGGCCGGGCGGGAAGCCGGCGGCCGCAGGGGGAGCGGGCGCGGCCCGGCTGCAGCTCTTCCTCCCGCCCGCGCCAGCAGCAGCCCGCCCGCCCGCCGTCCGTCCGTCCGTCCGTCCGTCTGTCCGCGGTGAGTCCACCTGGCCGCTGAGGGCCCGCGGGCCCCGTGGCGGGCGCTGCCGGGCGGGGAGGGGTTCTAGAGACGCCTCCACGGCCGGCCGTCCCGTCCGCAACAGCCGCGCCCTCGCCGCGTGGGGAGGGACCTGGTGGGGAGGAAGCCCGCGCCTGGCCACAGGGGCGCCCGCGACCTGGTGGGGAGGAAGCCCCGCGCCTGGCGACAGGGGCGCCCGAGACCTGGTGGGGAGGAAGCCCCGCGCCTGGCCACAGGGACGCCCGCGACCTGGTGGGGAGGAAGCCCCGCACTGGCGACAGGGCGCCCGCGACCTGGTGGGGAGGAAGCCCGCGCCTGGCCACAGGGCGCCCGCGACCTGGTGGGGAGGAAGCCCCGCACTGGCGACAGGGCGCCCGCGACCTGGTGGGGAGGAAGCCCGCCCCTGGCCACAGGGACGCCCG